GGACGTTTCAGCTGTTACTAGTGACCATCAGGACACAAAGCTGGGAAGGAGTAAAGTCACAACTAGCTGAAGTAAAGTCACCCCTTCCTGAACTACAGACTGCTAAACCATGCCTGAAAAGGTGTTAAGGATACACCACTATAAAGACAGCTCCATGCATCTACACTCACTGATAATCTCATTCCATCTTCTTGAAAGATGGTTACTGTTCAAAGACCAGATTACCACCATAACTCATCACACTGCACCTTCCACAGAGAACACTCTTCAATGGAGACTGCCTGAAATCAGCTGGCTGGAAAATCAGGCCCAAATATTGGATATTTTTTCACAGAAATATGGATACAGTACATGTATTCACACATCCACTATGGATGAATAGAACACAATTGTTTCAGATTCTCAAAAAAAAGGTCTCATGGTTTGTCAGTTAAAAAAAAAGGTTTATATTCACCACATGCTCACAATTTTTATCATTAACCTTTAATGACAGTTCAAATCTACAGGCTTATAAATATATATTTTCATAATTGTGACAATCAGTGACTAGATGCGGTTTTGGTGGAAAAATCATCTGAAATACTGTAAGGCTAGGTAAATTACAAGGCAATATTATAAAACACTGATGTTGAATTTTTGGTGATATTACATTACTTTTACAAACGTTAGAAACAAACATTACTTGGTGAAATACAAACATTGCAGAAGAAACTACAACCAAAAGTAATTTACCAGTTAAATACACAGTTAGAAACAATTTTCATTTTTAAACAAAGTCAAGGTAAATCAAAGAAACAGTAATAAAAACCGTCTTCAACAGACAGCATCTCCCTTACAGAGAGAAGTAGCTTGTGTAACACCATAAGGAAGGGGATGGGTTTCTTTAAATCCTTCCAAGAACAGTAACTTTCTGTCACAGCAGTCATTTTTCCCCATTACAACATGGATTCATGTCCAGATGTAGGCAGGTTTTGCACCCAGGTAGAGATCATTTTGTATCAGCCTTAAAATGCATTAAGTTCACATCAGGGTGCACTTCCATGAAGCCAATTGCAAGATGTACATGTATGCTTGCTATACCAGAGCTTAGAAACTGGACTTGAAGTAACCCCAACTCAATTTTTAATATTTTTCATCAGCTTTATAAACAAATCTTAGCTTTTTGAGTTTAAAAGCATAATACAATTTGGCTTATTTTAAAGACACAAATACAAAAAAAATTATAACTCACAACAGTAACACAACTTTTTGTCCTAGAAGTGATAAAGAGTGAAGTATAACATGTGAGACTTCATTACCCAATTTTATGAAATATTGTCTTCTTACTGTCATTCAGAGGACTATGATTATGATCTAGTGAAGTCAGATCGGACACGAAAGAGCCTAACAATAAACACTATTTGAGACATACAGTTTCCTTACTGACACTTTAAACATAGTATTTTATAGACAACACACCAATACATCAACTATACCAATCAAGTTAATTTCTAAAAAAACAGGTGCACCATAATATTGCATAGAAAAAAATCCCCAGCATTAATACACTTGCACTGAAGACTAGGATTTTCTCCCTGCTTTACTAAATCAAAGCACATATGTTTTATTAAAGCATATCTCACATTTGCCATTTTTCTTAGCTATACTCTTTGGAATCGCTAGTGTATATTATTTCAAGCACATTTTTATTCTGCATGCTGTTGTTATTAAAAAACTAAAATTGAAAGGAAAATGGTCTTCCTGTCTTATCCCCTTAAAAATGTAATGTAAAATAATCTTCCTATGTCACATAAAAATAAAATCAGACCTTTTTCAATAACAGAAAGCCCAAACAAAACCCAGGATAGCTGAATGAGGTGGATATTCATACACAATATGTATGAAATCCAGGGTCAAAAATCCTCTCTGTAGAATAATTTAACAGATGTATTTATAAATTGGCTAAACCAATAGCCCGTGGTTTTATAGCTCAGTATTCATTTTGATCATGGAAGACATACATTCAAGTCCATACACTGATTTAGGAAGTACTCTGACCACTTAATTATTTTAGGGCAATTCTCTCATATAAGCTGAACCTGAGAAAACCTTTCTAATGACACAGGTATGTTTCCCTGAACATGTTTCATTTTAGAGATGTCACCATCTTCCATTTTAGAAAAACACTGATCAGTTCTGCGTAAGGCTAGGGTTCTGCATTTTACAGCACAAATGTCTATATTTACTCCCTACCTTAAACTACTTGTTCGAAAAACCTTAATTTCAGTGCTCAAAAATATTTTCATTTCAGTAAGTAATCCCTTCTTGTATTCAGAATAGGTACATGTGAAGTGCATACAAGAAACAAAATTAGTTTATGGAGATTTGCCAAAAAAGCCATGCAGTATAACTGGAAGGTAAAAGCCATTTTCTTCAGATATTCCTTACAGTGAGCACTTTCATCTCATGTTATAAACCGTGCAGACAGATTGAATCCATCCAAAAGTTTTTATGGTACGCATTATGCAGCATCAGATAAATAGCAGTAAAAGCTGAACAGTCCATGTCTCCACAAATAGAGTTCATAAAAAACTAGAACTTCTGATTTCAGATAGAATATATATTCATAATATCTGTGTAAGAGGTTAATATATACAATAAATATATTTTGTTATATTAACTATAGTCACAGTTTTGGGTTTTTTTACTTAACTACATAACTGTAGAGGTGTACCAGGAAGACAGATTTCTGACTGTAATTTCTTTCACTGTAAGACAGGAAAATATTAGCAAATCCTTCTGGCTGTTACAGATACAGGATTTCTGGCACAGCTGAAAATGCATCATGAATTAGAATTGATTATTATATTTTTAGTACAAATTTCATTTTAATGACAAAAGCATTACTGGACTTTTGGAGAGAGAACTTGGGAACCCATGAGATTTCTTCCTAGGAAATGTTGAAAGGCACATAAAAATTTCAATATATATTTGATATTATGTTAAAAAGCAGGTTCTAAGTATTTCTGTAGGTTACATTAAAATATACAATTAGAAGATTGCCTGTTGATGCTATGGAAAAGCATTTCATGTCTCTGTAAAGAGATCATGTGTACGCATGAACAGACATTTGTTCATTCAAGTGATACATTTTTCCTTCACATATGCTGAAACAACAAAAAGTGTGCACTGATTTTCTTGCACACATATCTGCATCAAAAAGTTACCTGCTAATGGTAAAATGACAAAAATATATTTTACCTGAAAGTATGTGCATTTATTAAAAATGAGTGCAACAGTTTCAATTACTGATTTTATGCTAGTAAATAATAATATGCTTAGCTAGCTGAAATTCCATTTGCAGTCACTTAATTGTTCTGATTCCTTTTAGGATTTCTAACAATATAGGTAAAATTCAAAAATACTGCCATGAAAGGCATAGAATCCCATGCAAAATATCTACCAATTTTGGTGTGAAGCAGCAAACATCAATGTATATCAGACATACAGTACAATTTGACCCACTGTATAAAGTATCTTTATAGTGGACATAAAACACCGTGGCACATCTCATAGAGCTACAACTTTGCACAACTAATGACAGACACATTTTTACATCCACAGAGACATTAGCAATGAATAACTCACTTAAAAGTGAAGTACACAACCTAAGGATTATTTCCTTGCCTAAACCATTCTAGTATCACTTGGAAAGGAAGGTGGCACAGGCTCTATTCATGCATATAAAAATAAAAAGAGCTGACATATTCTCCAGAAAAAGGTTGGCTTGAAAATTTTCACATATTTTGCTTTGCCTGTGACAGTGCATTTTGTGGAACTATATTCTTTAGAAATGTGATATTAAAAAGTTGGTTTGCTCCAGCTCCTATTAAAATGATTGTTGTCTCGTAAACTTGAACACTATCCTCTCCAGGTTTTCCTCCTCAGAGTCACCATTTATGTAAATATTATATAATTATTCTTTTGAATTCTTATTTCATCTCCACTGATCGTAATACTTCCAGTAAGCCACACATAGGTAACATCAGGTTGAAGTCTAAAGGACTGGAAACTGTACATGCATTCTGCTGGGGGGAAAACAATCACAGTCATTGCAACTGAACACTGAATAAGTGTTTGGAAATCTGAATAAATCTCAAATGGAAATAGATTAATATGATAGAAGTGAAAAATACGTATTCAAAGCAGGGCAGCTTTGACACATACCTGATAAATTTCTATTAAAACACTGCAAACTTCTTCCACAGACTTCATTAACAACCTTCTCCAGTCAAAGTTGACCAGGCACCACCTTACCTTTCCAGACTTTAAAAAGCAGGTGTTTATAAATGCTTCCAGGAGGCCATGTCTTTTACTGGACTTGCACATATCGATAACCTGTGATCATGTTCAAACCCATATTGTTACTCACAAAATTTAGTGATGAGGACAGGCTTAACTGCTTGAGACTCTGTTTTGCAAAATGCTGCTCTGGTACTCTGCATCCTCAAAATGGTTAATATTCAGACCCGTGTATAACAAAAGGGGGAATAAATTATAGAGCAACAATCCCTGAACAGAATTAAAAAGCCATAGCTCAATTCTGCCTAGAACATTTCAACAGAGACCAAGATTAATTTCACCTAAGCCATGATAAAAAGCAGGGTAACTCAACAACTGGCTAGTGTACTTGATGCACGTACATCCATGTAGGAACTCCAGATTCAAAGAGTTTAAGCCACAGTTGCTATAAGGAGATTTTTAAAAGCTTACATACCTGCAGATGCTTGCACAAATCAAACTGACAATGACAACTGCCATCCACTGGAAGATAATTTTGAAGTTCTAGAATTAGAGTTACTGTTAAAAATGGTTTTAGCACCATTTGTATTTCTAAAGCCATTAAAACAGTAGAAAAGATATCTTGTTAAATCTTAATCTAAAATGCATAGAAACTCTTTATTTCTCCAAGTGTTTTCATCAATTTGCATAACAGCTATGGGTGTTGGGGTAAAACTTTTGGGGTAGAAAGGCCAAGCAAAACATGTTTTGGAAAGCTACAACACTAAATAAAAAGACGCTATGCTCTATTTCCACCAGATTTCAAAGTGCTTTCAAATGGAGACAAGTCTTTTTCCTTCTCTCCAGTATTAAGGCTCTTGTAAAAAAAATAGGTTTAACTAAAAGACACTTGGCTTTCTTCATCAAATACACCACTTAATATGCTTTAATCTGAACGTTTTGAAACCCTAATTCTGCAATTTTAGCTTTATAAATGTGTACTAGCAACATAGAGGGTTACTTTATTATGAGAGAGGGGCCTTAATATTCTAAACTATTAAATACTCAGTAGATGTTTACCACACATTTGGTTTATATTCTCTATTAAAAAAGCTGGGATTAGAAAACTGACTAGGGATTTAAAACCAAGTTAATAATACCACAGAAAGTAATTTTGCTATTATTTCTATTAAATCAGAACTTAGAAACATTAAATGAAACACTCTTTTCCCATCAAGTTTCCAGACCTTTTTTCCCCCAGAATTTATTAGGGTAACTATCCTGACTAAACCAGACCCTCAGGAGACAAAATTGCTTCTCAATTCCCACTGAAGTCAAAAGGTTCTATGAGAACGTGACATTACTCAAGATGTCTGGGACACATAACCCTTTTGCAGAACACAAAAATGCAGTTAAAAACCACATTTAATTCCTAAACATTCTACAAAAGATCCAAGACTTTAAAGTCCTGATCTGACAGCCCTTCATAATCAGATCACTCTGACATTGGTTTTACCACTCTCAGATACTGTATTTGTAGTGGTCCCTCTCCTGCAAAAACATGCACTCAGATTTGGCAGCAGCACAACCTGTGTTCAGCTAAACTCCTGAAAAAGCAAGTTTAAAAGGGAAAACACTATTTACTGCTAATGAAATGCTAATTTAAAATATACCTTTGAAGGCAGAAGTCAACATGCTTGATAATTTTTATTGACATATTTTTTATATGGCAAGCTATGGCTTTCCTCCATTTGAATGACTAAATTTAGGCAGTTTTGTGAAATCTGCAACTTACTAAAATTATTATGAAACATTTCAAGCATTTGTTTTTCAGAAAGTAGGCTACTGCACTGATGCCGTGGCACTAGAAATTCAACTAAACTGTTAACAGGAATAGAATGGAAAGTCTTGGGATGTAGACTGGAATTACGACTTCAACTCTTGCAATCTCTAGTTCCTTTGGTGCAATTCCACACCCTTCCCACTGTCCCAAGCTCAAGCACCTTCATGGAATCGATCTTACTGAAACAAACAGATCCTGACAAACCTTTATGACAACATACCATATGAATTTTAAAACAGAACACTTGCTTTTTAAAATCCCTCAGTGTGTTGCATTTCAGTTAGTGTGTGACGTTATTTTGCTTTTCTAAATAAGTTTAAATGCATGAGACAGGGTTCAAAATAAGAAAAAAAGTAAAACTATAATTAATCCCATCAATCACTTTCACAGCATGATGTAACACAGCTAGACCTGGGGGCATTCGTACTCATGTGTCTTTGGGTTCAAAACTGCAATCTGACCCTTAACCCTGCCCTATCAGGCCCACCGCACACGAGTGGGTCACGGAGTGGAACACGGATCCAGCCGCCCGCCGGAGCCGGGCTTTGCTTAAGCAGGATTAGGGAAGGAAAGCGGCTGGGCGATGCCCTCCGACACTGCCCTGCGCGTTTCATAGCCTGACCCTGCTGAGGGGGCTGTAACGGGTGCTGACCGGCAGCGTGCGTCTGCACCCGCGGATCCTGGTCCTCACCAGGGAATTCTGTCAGTGCCCTGCGGCCCTCCCTGCCCTTCCTCCCCTCTCTGGAGAGAGCCGCGGTGCACCGGGAGACCAGGGAGGAAACCGGCTCCCGCCTGGAGCCGCTGCGGCAGCCCGGAGGGCATCCCCTCAGGTATTCATCCCCTCGGCATTGCTGGCGGGATAGAGGATATAAATTATCCGTCTGTAAACAGAATTCAGGAAGGTACCTCCCGGCGACTAACAGAGAAGCGGCGCCTGCGCTGGGCCGCGGACCCCGGGTGGGCAGAGAGCCGGCCAGGCCGGAGAGGCGCCGAGCGCTCCCGTGACGGGAACCCGCCGTGCCTCAGCCCTCCGCGAGACCGGCCAGCCGGCCCCCGGGGCTGCGCGCTCCCTCCGCGCCTCAGATGAAGTGGATCCAAGCGGAGCTGTCGGGGTCCTGCGGCGGGCCGGTGGCGGGGGGGCCGCGCTGCCGGCCCCGCAGCCGGTAGTTCTTGCCCTCGTTGTTGTCCCAGTACTCGGCGCCGGCGACTCGGTAGCGGACGGCGAACTCCAGCACGGTCTCGGCGGCGGCGGCGGCAGCGCCCAGGGTCAGGAGGAAGGTGAAGCGGTCGGTGATGCCGTCCGCCGGGCCGGGTGCCTGGTAGGCAGCCGGCACCTCGGCGCAGCTGGCCCAGCTGTTGAGCGTGTAGCGCACCGTTACGGCCTTCTCGTAGGCGAGGTTGAGGACGCGCACGGCTCCGCGCAGCCCCGCCGGCTCGGCCCGCACCCACTCCAACCTCACCTTGTGCTGCCGCACCCGCTCCGTGAAGCCGGGGCTGGAGCCGGGCTGCGGCGGGAAGAGCGGTTCCAGCAGCGGCGGCGGCGGGCCGAACAGCACCGGCTCCAAGTCGCCCAGCGCCGGTGGCTTCCTGGTCTTGAAGAGGTCTGCGGTGCGCGGCGGAGCGGGCAGCGGCACCTGCGGCAGGTCGGCCTCGCAGAAGTGGCGCACGGAGGTGAGCTCCAGGCCGAGGGAGTCGGCGAACCGCACAGTCTTGCGGCGGGACGGACTCTGCTGCAGCGCCGGGCGCAGGCTGCGGTCGCCGGGCGTGGGCAATGACTTGGCGCGGCGGCGCTGCGTGGGGCTGGGCGGCACGGCGGGGAGCGCGGGCTCTCGGCCGCGGGGCTGTGGCTTCGGCTTCTCGTCCGCCGCTTCCCGCACCACGGGCGGGGGCACAGCGTCGCCGTCGGGGCTGCAGCCCGCCCTGCACTGCTCGGCCAGGCTGCCATAGAGGCAGGCGCTGCAGCTGAAGTTGCGAGGCAGGTAGAGCCGAGGAGGCGGTGTGGGCACCGAGGTGTGCAGCGAGCCCGCCTTATCCATGGGGGAGCCGGTGGGAGCGGCGGCTGTGCCGGCGGCTGGCGTAGGACCCGGGGCCCACTGCCCGACCGGGGCTCCTCCTCTCGGGCCGCTGCTTGCGGATGGCGAGGCGGTCTAGAGCCCGGGCCGCGGGCTCTGCCTCTCGCCTAGACCCGGTGTCAGTGGGATGACCTCGGCGTTGTCCCCGTCGCTGCCGGCCCCGGGGACTGCCGGAGGGTGCATGTGTCCACTGGAGGCGGCGGGACCGCGGCGCTCCGGCGGCTGCCGCTGCTGACGTGCAGGGGTCAGGCAGCGAAATACGCCCCGAGTCATCCCTCTTCCTCCCCCATCGCGCCGCTCTCACCAGCCGCCCCTCTGCCCGCCCCGGGATCGTCCTCGCCACCTTCCCTAATTGCACTCCGCCGGCGGCAGGCTCCTCTCTCCCGGCGGCTCTCACTGCCCGCTCTCCCCAGTACCGCGGCTACACCGTCCCCCTCCTCCTCCTCGTCCTCGCTGTGTTCTGGGTCTTTCCTCGAGGAACTCATACAGAAAGAGGAGGCGGGAGGGATTTCCCCGTGGAAGCATTAAAATTCATCACGGCGCTGTCGCTCGTCCGATCCGTTACAGAAATAGCCGCTGAAGGAGGACGCCGAGCCGGGCTCTGGAAGGTTACATGGGCCAGTAAGAAAGAGCTGGCTCGTAAGCTGGACCTCGCAGTGTACATTTAAAGGAAGAAATCCAGCTAATCTGCTGTAATGCGTTTATAGTACATCTGCTGAATAAAACATGCCTGCCGCAGCCCTCCTGTAGATTTACATCTGCAGTCGAAGTGGCTGCAGCCTAAACACGGAGGATGGTTCTGCACCAGAACCGCCTCTGCTCTTTTCAAAAGACTATTTGATAATTGCCAAGCGATAGTCAAGTGAATTAAAGCTTAATGAAAAGCAGAATCTGATGCAGCCAGTTCAAGGAGCTAAACACTATTTTAGTAAGCCGCTTCATTCCAGACTTCCCATAATCTGGTACTCATTTTTAATTAGTAAATTGCATTAAAAACAATGATCCTACCATCCTGCCAGAGACTGAGCCTGACCTGTGTTGACGTCTGATTCTGATTTAGCTTCTGGGCAGGAGCTTTTACACCTTCATTTTATCTGCAGCACTTGGTGTTCCTTTGAAAGTCTAGGCAGAGGAAATGAAGCTGATGAGATTAAGTATGGAACAAGTAAACCCCAAGAGTTAAAGAGTCACTAGAACACAAGGAAAATCTCCCTACTGGCTCATACTAGAACTATCAGCTTCAATTCCCTTATTAAGAAGTAGAAAACAATTCCTAGGTTATTGCTGCTGGGTTCCAAATCTTTTTAATGACAGACAGTTCCTAAGCAGCGAATGAAAAATGATGCCCCGCAGTGGTAAACTTGACATCATTACGTTTCCCAGTGATTTGTCATGTCATTTTGTCACATTCATGGGATGATCATAGGTTTTGAAAAATCAGGTAGGAATGACATAAAGAATTACATCTGAATTTGTTAGCCCAGGATCTTAAAATTGTCTCACTTGTCTTTTAATGCACACTATAGGAAAGATTCGTTAGTACTCTTTCCTATGCTTCCCTTTCAGGAAAAAAACCATGATGGTGTTTGTCTACTCATACTGATCTGTGGGAGAAAAAGAACAGACCCAGAGAATTGTTCGAACAGGCTTTAATGCTACGTATTTTGAGCTATTTTTTAGTAATTTCCATCTGTCATAATGAAAATTTTCTAAGGAATTAACACTTGGTTTTGCTGATGCTAATTTCATTTTGAAACCAGGAAACAGTAAGAAAATGTGAAGGCTTTGCATTTTTAAACTGTTGTGAAACTAACTGAACTAACAAGATAAATCAGCTTAAACTTGATTACACATTCAGTCAGTTTTGAATACGTGCATATGAGGAACATGAATCTGGAGTAGTTTAACTTATGTTACAGTTATACTTTACACAATTGGGGTGCCTTAGCAGAGGCTGACTTCCCTTCTGGTAATTTCAGTTGCCCAACTTGTCCGTATCATAAACTTGTGTAATACTCCTGCTTTTTGTCTTTTCCAGACCTTCTCTTTTCTCTCAAAATCTGGGTAATATTTAATGGAAAAAAAAAAGAAAAAGAAAAAGCAGCTCCTTCACTAGTGATTGTAGGTGATGTACCTCATAATTGAGTTGGAAATGCAGATTCCCCAAAGTTAGTTACCCCAAAAGTGGAATAAAAAAAAAATTGAGAAAATCCTGTGATAAGTAAAACTAAATAAACCAACACACTTAGCTTTGGACCAGCCAGGTCAAGGCAAAATGAGATGCAGATGAACACCCATATAAACTGATTGACTTGATGAGAAGGCAGAAATTTCAATTAAGTTCAGCTCTTGTCATCTCCAGGCAAAACCTGATGGTTCTTTGGCTTTGCAAGAGAATAAAAATACTCAACGGGCATGTGGATAGTAGAGAAAAGGATAGAAAGAGACTTGATATAAATGCATGCCCACTGTACATAATTCCACTGGTGATCCTTGTGGAGTAGAGTGGAAGAAAGCCACTTACAAGCTTTCAAAAGATCAGAATGAAATACTACTTAAATCCAAACATCAATTCACCAGCTAATCATGCAGGAGCTCAAAATTTCACCTGCATTTTCCCCGTGACACCTCAAGTTCTGGCACACAGGGGCACCTCAGCCTTGTCTCTGTGGAGCATTGTCCCCATGTAAACTCCACCAGAATCCATAGCGAAAGCATTTCTCTTTTTTTTTTTTCTCTTGATCTGAACATTCCCAGCTTGTCTCACTGAATCTGCTTGCTTTTACTCTCTTGCTTACTTGCCAAGGTTAAAGCTGTGGGAACTCTTCCCCACACCTGCCACTAATGAGGGTGTCCTTATTACTAGGCTGGTCTTCTACCTCTGCCTCTGTTGAATTTAAGATAGATATAGTAAATGCAAGTTTCTAGCTCTGAAATTTAACAAACATACACACAGACATTCTCTCAAATAGCCTGCAGCCTTGTTCATCCTGTGATGTGAAAGCTGTGCTACAAGTTCAAAATGGGAAGCATCTGACACCATTTGTAAAAGGAAGTTCTTTTGGTTTTGCCTACTGTAAATGTTTGTACACAGAAAATGTTTAAACCCTTGGAAGCAAGGAAGGACTACCGCACCTACAGAAACCATGGCTTAATATATACAGCAATATACATCCATCCACAGCGCACACACACACACACACCGGCTTAATTTAGTTCACAAAATTTGGGACATGTAAGTTTAAAAATTTAATCCATCTGTTCATTTATCATGCTCTACTAAGATAATCATCCAAGGTTCTTTTCTAAAGAATACTGTAAATATCCAAGCTGACAAAGAAATTGCTAGTACTGACCTAGCTAGCGCCTTTAAAGAAACACCTGCTGTCTTTCCACTGGGAAATAATATTTTTGTGACAGGATAATTCTGAAGGTTCCAGGAGGAATAGAGCAGTGGTAATGTAAATTCTAGAGCTATACAGTGTTGCTGTGTTAGAGGGTAAGAAAAGCAGGAGGTCTTACATCACAATTAGTGTCAACAGACATCAGAACTGGCACTCAGTGCCAGTTTTCATTCCTTCAGATTCCTCTCCTTTGCAGATTTAAATACCATAGTCATAGGATAAAAGTTTGTCGTAATAACATTGTCCTAACAACATTTTGTTGACCTGTCTGAACCTTGCCGCTGACATCAAGAATTTTAGAGACAGCCTCTTGTTCTGCACATGTAGCACTGAATGACCCTGACATTTCTGCTGTGCCAAACTGCATTTGAAGTCCATCTGATACCTGAGAGTTTCCAGCTCGTTGAACAGAGATGTATGGTTCCCTCTTTTTTTTAAGATTTAAAAGATTCACAAATGCAGGCAATGAACTGGGAGCTTTCTTCTGTGGAATTCATCAATTGTCTTGATTCCAGGTACTCTAAGAGAAAGCAGATGCTACTGCTGGGGAGCATTAAGCAGAACGACAATGGAACCATTAATAGGGAGGCTTGTCTGAGTGCTGGGGCTTATCCAAAGTGGCCATTGTCACATGTCCACTTTAACTTTCCAGAACAGGTTTATTTTTAGTAATGAGAATTGTAGGAAGATAAAATGGATGTAAAGGCGAAGTGCATTACAATTATGTCAGCTCTCGAGATGCAGTTGTGACTCAGTGCGCAAATTGGAAAGGTCAGCTCCTACTCTCATTTGTATGTGCACAGCTCTCCCAAAGCTGATGAACTATGTAGGTGTTACACCGGAGTTTCATCCGCGAGTTTAATAATCCTACATGACTCCATGAATCTGACAATTGTATTTACACTGACAGTTTGTAAGCCTTGCGTGAGACACTCATTCGGCGTGCTTACACTTTAAAATACCTTCCCACACTGTTTCACATTAACAATTAACTCAGACTTCATTTATTTCCTCAGAAAAATATCTTAGTCACATCTCAGAGAAGTGCCACATTAGAACTAGGTAATATGCCTAATGCATATAAGAAAAAAAAAAAAATTAAGTATTCTGTTAAAGAACAACGGTATCTATCTTCTCTACCAAATACCATCTTCACCTAACCAGGATGAACAGTCTTTAGCAAGATGAAAGTTGCATGATTCACAGACTTGTATCAAGTTCATTTGATGTTAAAGATGAGTGAATAATTTCCAAAGGGCTGCGAGTTCTGCTGAACAGAGATGTGACATTTGGGAGGGTGCTTTGTGGTTGTGTTTTGGCTTGTGGGTTTTTTGGTTTGTTTAAAATATAGGGATCCAAGTGAAGATGCAATATTTACAAGAAAATAGAACTGTAAGAGTTTACCTCAGTTCATGACCTTGTGAATCGGCCTTACTGTATGAGGAAGCTCACACAATTTTATTAGTTAAGCATTAACCATGTCTGTTGATGCTAAGTGATTGGCTTAAGACTTCTGGAGAGACCATAAGCTAAAAAAAGCCCTAATTAAGACTACAGTAGAAAACTAAAAAGAACAACCGAACAGACATATCTCGTTATGTGGAGAAAATTATGAAGAGAATTTAAAGTATTTTTCTCATATAAATAGTTCCGCTGTCTTTAAAAGGAAGGAATGTTTTTAACAAGGATTAAGCAACAACCAGCAGGACGGGGACTCTTTCAGTCCTAGAACTTTTAACAGATTTTCATGCAAATAATTGAGTAAATGCACTTCAGGATCTCCTCAGATCCCATCTTCTGGTAAGAGCACGTGTGACTCAGTCTTCATGCCATGTTGTAAAATACCCACAGGAATCCCTAGCAACTGCAGATGACCTCAGTAGTGCTAGTTAATGATTTCAGGCATGAAAACATGCTCATTGTATGCCTGATTTTAATTTACTTTTTTTTTTTC